TAAAACAATTGAAATTCCACTTGTATCAAGCTGTTCATTAGGAATTGCTCTCTGCCTTTAGTGCTGTCAGAAAAATAACCTGTTCTGCTATGATTAAATAGCAGAATGATGGTCGGTCCAGTGCATTTGAGAGAGAGATTGAATAAACTTTCTACTGCGGAAACAATTCAGAAGTGACATGCTGCAAGGGGGGTCAGCATGTGCATTGATATTCAGCTGAGCTGTCAACTGGCACTGAGCCAGGCACGCAAAGCTCTGCTATTTGAAGCAGCATGTGAAGCATATGCAGTTGAAAAAAAAGTCCTCTCTTCATGCATGATTTGCTTTCAAAGAGAGAAATTTTCATTTTATTAAAAACAAGATATTGTACCTTATTTGTAACTGCAAGTACATACTTACCTTTTTTTATATTAAGCTTTTGGGTTGAAACAGATATGTTAGTGTTTATATGTGTGCGTGCGTGTGTGTAAACTGATTCCTTGCGATGTAGGGGAAAGGGCAACTTTTTTTTTTTTTTTAATTCCTGATTATTTTCAGTTACTGAAAGTGACACAGTGAAACAGAATAAAAATATATGCTTGGGAGGATAACATTTCTTTGTCTGTCATACATACTCCGTTTAAACTAGGAGACAGTTTCTAAAAGCAGATATAAATGTAAAATATTGTAGTATGAAATCAATTTGTTGAATTCTTGATTTGTTTACCTTTTTAGTTAGGCAGGATTTTTCAGTCCATTGATATACTTACAGGTGGCTGCTTTTCAGAGTATGACATCATATTATGTTTTCCTTCCTAGTAATAGTAACTGGCTTTTGCATTTGCCTGCTGCCTTTTTTCAAAAATCCAAACAATAAACCTCCCATCCTCCACACAACTTGAGAAGGCCAAATAATTTTATTCTTGTCTTAGCTAAAATTGTTTTTAGAATCTCTATATCATATTTAACTCTGGAGATTGGTTTTTTAACTGTTTTTAAGGTTATCGACAGAGCACTTGACTATTTTCAAGAAAATTACTGTCACTTTGTACATCAACTAAGTAGCATGTGTAATGTTATTTACAAACCTTGCCATGTCTCCACAGGAAACTCCAGCTATTATGTGGGCTACCAAAAGTTCATCAAAGCAATCCTGTTCTCTAAACTGGCTCATCATGGAGTGCAACGTAAAATGTCTATTTGTGGAATGTTATTTTCGTTTAAAAGTACTGCTCCACAGGCAAAAAGTGGTACTCTTCATGGCAGGCACATAGGAAACAGAGCTGTTGTGTGCTGTTCTCAAGTTGCAGAATAAAACACTCTGGAACATTAAGAATGGCTAAATTTTACCCTGCTCTGCCCAAAAGGGCCAGATGTAGGAATTTTCCTTCACTTCGGTAGTACAAGCAGATAATGCAACATATAACATTGAGCAGGGGCAAGGGGATTAAACACAAATTTAGAAAAACAGTAAACTTATATTGACATTGAAAGAAAATGATAAAATTCATTTTCATGGATATGCTAGAGACAGCTGTTACTGTCTTAAATTTCTGAGATTACAAAGTATGAAGGTCTGTATAAAAATTTGAATTAACCAGAAAAGATAGGATAGGAATATGCTTTAGAAAATACTGATTTACTTTTATGATCGTTATTCTTTTTTACGATAAAACAGCTAGCAGGTGAATGGGAAGTGACTTCTATATTAACTCTGCCTGCATAAAATAAGCTAATAGATATCATTAGGAAGGACATGCATTTAAAATTTCTAAGTTAACTTGACACAGATCTCTGAAAAGTGGAACCTCTTGCTGACATCTGTAGCACGACTTCCATTACATTACTATCTCTCACAATTCGTAACTAACAAGATCTGGGTTTGTCAGTCATCCCTATCAGAAAAGATTACATTGTTTTAACATAGAGACAATTTTGGTGAGGGAGAATAAGCAGGCCTGTCTAAATCCAATGGCCTTACTAACCTGAGCTTCATATGAATTTATGCACTGTGCCTTTTGATGTGATTCTGCACTTAGCATGGATGTTTGTCTCTTAGACTGCACAATTTAGCAAGCTGTAAAAAACACTTTCAAAGACAAGTGTTAGGCGACTGTAATGTAGAAACTTTGATGTCTTAGTAAAGAAAAATCTTTTCCGCTTGTGTTAGAAGTGAAAGTTGGATATTGATCTAAAATAAAGATTACCCTGAGTATTACATGAATCTTGAATGTTTATATATTTCAGTGAGGAACATAGGACATTTAAAAGTCTGGGGATCACTATTAGTAGCTGCAAAGGCTGCAAAAAAAGATGGTATTCTGAGAAAGCATGCATATTGCATTGCTCTAAAAATGTATTTAAGTCTGTATGGTGCTTACAATCTTTTTCCTTCTGTTTTCGTTTTGGGGTGAGTGTTTGTGGTTGATTTGACTTTTGCTGGTTCTTTTTTTCTCCTGGCCAAATGGGAATGTGTATAGAAGCAAGGAACAGAAGTAGTTGAATTAACAAAGTGATGAAAAATGTATTGTCTGAAGTGTAGTGCCAAAGAAGTAATGGGTTTGTCCTTCGGTCTCTGTTTTACGGTGTTCTTCTGAATTTCTTGCTCAATATATTTTGAACAATAGAGTTTAAATACCTAAAACAAAATGTTGATGAAATCAGTGCTGGAATGTAGATGTCTACAGTTCTCCAATGTGTTGTGTTGTGTTGTGTTTTTTTGTGACATGACCAGATTTGCTGACTTGTGGAGCACACTGTTTCTCTGAGTATTTAATGGAGAGCAAAGGGTATTGGAAGAGCTGCCTAAAGAGCTGCTGATGAATTTACATTATATGGTAGACTGAGAGAATGGTTTGGAAGTTGTATTTGGTCTTACCGTTTTGAATAATTAGACAGATATTTGAAATATCAAATATTTGAATAGTAAGTAATAGTGATATTCTGCCCTCAAGAGCTTTATTTGGGGGCTAAACAATTACTTTAAGACAAGTTTTGATGAGAATCAACACCAAACTTCCCATAGGGAATTGCTGGAAAATTATTCTAAGAATATCAATGATTTCAATGGTTGCAAGTGCTGGGACCTCATCCTGCTGGTGATTTACCTTTTTTTTTTTTTTTTTAATAGCAGGGATTTTTTTATTGCAGTTAATACAAATCTTGTTTTGAGCACATTATTTTCATCAAATGTCTGCAAAATTTCACAGAAAATTAATGTAGATTTTATGTAGCATTATGATGAAAATAATTCACTTTGTTTAACATTAATGAGAATGGAATTATATTGTCAGTTTTTTAGTTGTCTTTTTGATGCAAGTATAATGTTTTCATTTGCAATTCCGAAAAATCCACCAGAATGCAATGTTTATACTAGATCAAACACAATTTTAGATTGCAATAGTTAAATATGCATTTTAGGGGTTGGTAAATATAAATGTTGAAGGTACATAGTTCTATGAGTTATACACCTAGAATTAATTTATATTTAATTCGCAAAGCTAATTCACAGCTAAATTGTTTTTTAGCTTCATTGTGGCATCTCTAATTATAGCATAATGATTTGTTATGTTGTACTGTTAGAAACAAAATGAAACTTGTAGTCTGTACATTTCTGATAGTTAAGATCTGTTTCTGTTGGTTAATTATTTTAAGACTATGGTCTTCATTTTAAAGAGTAAGAGTGAAAACACTGGAAAATGCTTTCAAGTACACTTTTGTGTGAAGGCACCCTGCAAACTGTGCAGCTCGTGTTTATAGTGGATGCTCTATGATAATCATAATTTCAAAACTAAAGAGAAAAAAGAGAATGCTTATGTGCAAATGTGTTTGGGGCAGGAATGAACGTAAGCTCTGTATTTGAGGTTTACACAATCACTTGGCTTTAAGTTGATTGAAATTTTCCAGATTCAAATCTTTCACTCAACGTAGTTGGTCAAGTCTGACAAAAAGAAAATTTGGCTGCCTCAGAGTGCAAAATAGAAAACTTTTTTTTTTCTTCAATCTTAACTGTAATGTGTATGAATTTGTGTGCATGCTCTCAGAACGGTAACTTACAGATGAGCAATACCCACTGCATCCCAGGGCTCGCAGCTCCTGTCTCGAGCAGCAGCTGATTGTTGGTAGGGAACAGGGGAAAGGTCCCTCGCTGAGGTTTGTGCTGCCCTCTTTGCACTGGCCCACGTGCTCCTGTGAGTCAGACACTTCAGCTCCCTGAAGGTCTTACAGAAAATCATTGGGTTTATTTTGTTGTTGTTGTTTTTCTCCACCTCAGCTCCAGCTTCCTAAAATGACTTATCATTGGGTTAAACAAATTTTAGACCTGGCCAGATTGACAAATGGGGGTTAAGACTTTGCAAAGAAAATTGATTCCTATCTTGCATTATCTATAATAGAAAACTTCAGTGATTAATTTATACTACACTTAACACAGTGTCCTCTACTATTTTGTCATGTTTACAGTCTTAAAATTTTTAAAGATTTTATCTTCTATACTGCTGTGTGTAAGATTGTTCACATCACTTTTAGCTGTCCAAATAAATGGCTATGATGATAAACAGGAGAACTAACAATATAGAAATAGCAAAAGTGGGAACTTCTAAGACCTGTAGCTTTGATTTTTTACTTTTTGATTTTTCTATTAATAGTTCTTCTTTTCTTAAAAGTAGATAAATAGATAAATCTAAAACCTCATGCTGAAACTGTTACAGATGCTATTTTGAAGAGGAGGAAACTAATTAGATATGCTTCATGAAGTTGAAATAACAGGCATTTAGATTGTATTTAGACAGTGTGCACTTTTTTGTTCTTATGAAAGCATGGAAACATAATTTGCTGTACATGTGCATGTTTGCCAGCTGACCGCTTACAGAGCAATTATGGTTTTCACAGTTATCTAAGGTTTTTATTAGATTATCTAGTCTCTTAAGGAAATATTTATAGTGTTTAAAACATCTTAGTGATTGACCTTCATTTGAGATTAAATTTAACCTAATGTTTACCTTAATTGTAATTTCTTTAAGGCCCTATTGAATTTGAGGAATGTAACACATCTAGTGCAGTTGAAGGTAAGTTGCTGTAGTATAGTTTTTTACATAAAAATGCTGTGGATAAAATCTGGAACTGAGGAATGAATGGTATTGAGCACATGAAATTGTATGAATTTGCAGTATTCTGATAGGCTAACAAGCAATTATTCCTTTTAAATATGTAATGTTCAAACTTCTACCAAAATAAGATTTACAATACTGTAGTAATCTAATGCACAGTTGTCAGAAATTTTTAATGTTTTTATAAATATACCTTGGCTAAGACCCTCTCATTGGATCTGGTTCACTTATGACTGTAACTTAATTTACAAGTGTCAAAATATGGCTCAGGCTGTGTCCATTGTTGCCATGTTGGTTATACCAATTCTAACAGAGTTCTGCTCACAAGGCGTTATTTTATTGATGGTGCTTATTTTGCTTAGGGATTGTTTTAAGTGGTTAAGAGCCATTTTATTAGTATAGGCTATATATTTACTTTGGGACAAAGGGGTTGACAGTATAGCTGTAGCAACTGACAATTCTTAAAGTTGCCAAGATTGCATTTGAGGGGCTTAAAATCATTTCTGACTGAAACAGAAAAGTTCCATCTTCAGAACTACTTTCATACTCCATTTGTGTCGAATTTTGACTGGATAAAGCACAGAAAGGAAATAAATCCCAGACTCTATACTTAAAAATAATTTTGGAGCAATTATTTCTGCCTCTGTTAAAATAGAAAATGTGCCTGAGTTTATGGCTGCCTGATATATGAAATTTTTAGTTATTTCACCAAGAAAATTTCTTACGTATTATAATAATTTCTACTTATATTTGCTGTGTAATGAAATTTTGCACTTGCTTCAGCAAAAAATCGAGGAGAGCGCCTGATGCAGACTTAAAATGTATTTCATTTTCAGTGTATTAAATGGATATGAAAGAAAACTTTTTTTTGTATGCATTATAGCTATATGTATCCAGTGCTAAAAACGGGGAAGAAAATATAGAGGGAAGGCATGGTTCCAGGCTCAGCAGGAGCTAGCCTTGCGCCAGCTACAGCACAGGGATTTAATAAGCCCAGCATCAACTGGAGAGCTGCAGACATTCACTTTTGCACGGGACCCAGGTCCTACTTCCTACAAGAGGCTGTGGCTGGAGGCTGCCAGCGCCACTTGGGGCAGTGAGAGCAGCACTGAGAGGGGCAGGCTCTGAGCCCAGGGCATTGGCTGCAGCTCAGCAGGCTCCTCCTGAGTTTCTGTGAGCAAAGTCTCTTCCCTCAAAACTGGCAATGCACCCACCTTCCGCAAAAGAAGCTGCAGTCTCACATTACTGAAGTATTGCTTTTTTTTTTTCATGTCTACCCCAACGTTAGGCTCGTATCATTCATTATAGCAACATTTAGAAGGTATTGACATTGGTATGCGCTAGTGTTGCACTTTGCTAAGTGTATGCTCATCTCTGATTTTTACATGAAAAATGTTTGTTTAATAGGGATAAAACCACGGAAGAGAAAACCTTTTGGTTTATCAGGAATAATGAAAAAAGAAAAAGATACTGAATCTGTGTAAGTATATTTCTAGCTTGAAGCTTTCAGTTGTGTGGAACCAAAAATCTGGAGATAAGCATTAGCTAATGATTAACAAAAGTTAGTGATTTTTATAATGCAGTTTTAAAGGAATGCTATCAATATGAAAACATTAAGACATTTAAGATTTTTGTAACTAAAGATGTTAAGTAACTAAGTACTTACTAGTTTGCTGATATGTTTCCTTGTTTTCTCTGCATAGGTAAGTAGTTCTCCCTTGTGTAGACATTTAAACACTGTAGAAAATATGATTCAAAAATAGCTTATAATTAAAAAGAAACTGAGATATTCAGAAATATTTTCAAAATGGCAATATTTTAAAACTTTTTTTTAACTGCTTTTAGTTTTTAAATAACATGCTTAGGAATTTGTGATCTAAGAACAGCACATAGTGTGTATTTACATGTACAAAGTGCAAAAGCCCTATGGCTGTTGTTCTTTTGTTATTTAATAATGGTTACACTTCTTAACAATATTTTTCTCCTCTCTATATTGATGTCATTAGGACTCAGAGGTGTTACTTTTTGTTGTTGTTTACAATACTCCTTTATATTTCTCTTCATTTGTGATTTAATCTTCCCCACACACTCTGCCTTACATACTTTAATATGCTCAAGTAATAATCTGATCAATAATCTGAGAATACTTTTCTGTTGCAAGGCCTTATTTCTTCTGATAAGGATTTAGTTTAAAATATTTAGAGTGATGTACAGATTTGAGAATTTTGGTGTTTTAAATGCTTTTACTACACTTTAAAATAATCCTTTCTCTCTTGAAATGTAATTTGTACAGATTTTTTTTATGCGATGCAGAAACATTCCTATATCAAATAGCAGCCAAAAAGTGTGTTTCGAATGTTCCATTGATAGCCTTTTGATCTTTGCATTTAATTCTTTGGAAAGCAGTCTCTTTGATAGGATTGAGTATTAAAAAAGAAGCTATCTGCTTTTCTTGACCAAAAGAAAAATTGTTTTGACCACAAAGTGGGCTGTTACTCATACTAATTTCATATCATATATTAACTTGTTTGCAGTCTAGGCATTTCCTTCTATCCATTCTTTGGGAGATGATAAAATTTTATCTGGCCCCAGCAAAGATTTAGGGTAGCTAATATTATTTTTCTGGAGCCACTAGAGGCCAGAAAGTTTCCAGTTTGACCTTGCCAGGTATATCAGATGGCAAATCTTGACTCAGGTTGTTTTTCCTCTACCTGTATCGGAAGAATTTTGGGGGGCACGGAGGAGTTGCAGATTCATCTATACACTCTGAAACATTTCATATCTGTATATGCTGCTCCATGGCATCTGGATACTTTTCCAAAAACTGTCATTTTCCAAAAAAGTTTCATTTAATGATGAAAGGTAATATGGGAGGCTTTCTAGGACAAATTGTCTCACATGGCACAGTGATGTTGTAAAACAATATAGGTCAGTGCAGCTGTTCTGAAATGGGAAAAAAGTTGCCTGACTTTCTATGACTTGAGCTAGAACTTGATTTATATTATTCTATTTGTATCTGTATATATATACAATACAGAAGCAAATGGGTACTAAGGTCGGAAAGAAAGTATGGCTGCCTGATACTGATCTCCTATATAAGACAAGCTATAGATTTTTACAGATGCTTGCATTTATCCTTCTCTAATTTAACAGGAATATCACATTTTTAATATTAGGTTTTTGAATAGTTGATGATCCATTTTATATCTAAGTATAATATTCTAATAGTTATTTATCATCACCTTAAAATTTTACTGACAGTCTGTTTTTTCTGACTTCATCTTTCAGTCAATGATGTTGTTACAGGCTCTATTACCAGACATTTCCTCTGTGAGGAAAAAACCTTCCTGTCTTAGTTGTAAGCTACAATCCTTGAATTCCCTTAGAGAGTCCTCACTTGCTGGATGTATTACCCTGTACTGGAAGTGTGAACTTATTCTTTCACCTTGAAAGAAAGATCATGCACCTAGCTATGTAAAAGCACTCCCATCTAAATCTCGATGTCCTCATTTCCCACCTCTCCAGCCTTTCTCTATTGCAAACATGAGAAATTAATTTTTCTAACTGTTCATCTCTTCAAGCTGTAAAGATGCTTTTTAAAGCAGCTATTTGCCTGTCTCTGAATTTCTCTGAGCAAGCAGGGGAGGTAAGGCTCCAGTTGAATGGAGCACACACTTCTGCACGGTGCTGTTCACTGCCAGCTTCCTTACAGTCTGCGCTGAGTTCCACATTCGTGTTTCCATGTGTGCAAGTTTTCATACCTGTTTTTAAAGACATTGTGCATTGTACATTTAACCTGTTTAGGCTTTCCAAGAAGATAGTTTAGTTTGAAAATGAATTGCAATTGCATGTGGACAGTTTGTTATAATTGTTGACTATGATTTATTATACACATCATCCAAGGACTTGACTCTTAATTATATTCACCTTCACAAAGTTGTTGACTATATTTGCCTGAATAGCAAAGCATGGTGGGTATTCACAAATAGTATTTTAAATACAGCCTGGTACTCCTGTCTTCCCTTGATTCCTCCGCTCCTCTAACCCTGCTCCCAGAACAAGTTAGGGCCTGAAGTTTGCAACTTCATATTTTCAATATTTATTGTACAGTTTTCTTCTATGGTTATTTCTGCTTCTTTTATTTAAATTTCATGCTGTTGAATGCATGTATAGACTGTAAATTTTAAGAGTTTGAGAGAGAAATGGGACAAATGTGATGTTTCAAATTGTTTGAAATTAATAAAGGAAGCACAAAACTGTTTGAGGAAACTAATTTTTGTATTTTATAATTGTAAAATTTCTTTATTTTTTTTAATAGGGAATGTCCAGATGCAGACTCAGTTGTAAGTAGACTTATTTCTAACACAAGCATATAAGCTAAACTGATCAGCCATTAAGTCTAACTAAACTTGGCTTACATCCAGGTTCCATAAAGTATTAATACTGTGATAAGAGTTTTACTATTCTGATGGCATAGTTGAAGTGATAGTTTTGCTCAGAACATGCAGCATGCACAAGTGTTTCACTAATGCATTTATATTTCCTAACAGTTTTAGGTTTAAAATAACATATTTTTACTGCAATTTGCTATTTTATTTTGAAGGTTCACAGAGTTTTAATTAACTAGCTAATAGGTTCTAAGTGAGTTACTTTCACACTACTTTCTTGTGGATCTAACATTGCCTCCTCATTTTCCTTTCTTTATTACTGTCTCTCTGGAAAATCTTTCCAATATTAATGGAGCTCTGCGTGATTGCTGCCAGTAGAGTGTAGGAACATATGTACTTAAATACTGCTTTAAATGAACAATCTGTAGATAGTCTTTATTCATGATCTGTTTTTCATTGCTATTTTTAGTCTGCGATACATTTTACAATTTTATTCATTAACTTCAAAGAGGAGGCAGTTGCAAATGAAATTAATGTTAATGCTTTTTATTTCTGAATTGAGCCTTTTGTGTTTACTTTAAGCATATATGTTGTCTTGAACTATATGTACAGTGAGTGTGCCTCCATATGGCAACAGCAGAGAAATGTTTACAGAATGGCTGAAGTGATTTTCTGTAGACTGATTTGTTTTTCAGTTGTCTTATGTAGATGTCAATTATATTAAACAGTTTAATTTTCCAAGTTCACTGGTTACATGAATTTTCTTCTTTGCATTCAATATCTGTGAGTTTTAGGACCTAATATTAAAATAAAAGATAGATACTTGGTTTAAAAAGTTCTAGTAGAACCTTTTCTTTTTCTTAATAAGGCAGAGCCTTAATAAGGAAGATTAACCAAATAATGAAGCATATGTATATAAAGAGCTTTGTAAAGATTATTTGAGACAAGCTTTTTATCCTATACAGAAGCAGATTAATTTTAAAGCAGAATTCTTTTCTTGGGACGTTTAAAGAAAAGTACCTTAGAATTATTCCTAGAATTATCAAGCCCTTAATGTCTTTTGACAGTTTAGGTTGAGTCACTGGAGTAAAACAGCTGGCTTTGATTTGTAGTGTTTATTTTCTTACTTGCTTGTTTTGATATTTTTAATTATTAATTCAACAGTAAACATGTCTGATATTGTTTGTGGCTGCATGAGGCACACTGCATGAACATACAATTAAATTCTACTTAAATTCTACTGTCTAGATGTAATTTATGCATGGTAAAAACAAATGTTAAAAAAAAAAAAAAAAAAAACTTCCATAGTGCCTAACAACAAAAGTGATGCTTGCGTTCTCATTTGTTTTGTGCTCAACATCTTATGAGTTCATTTGGACTTCAGAATATGGTCTATCATTTCTTTTTGCTTTTCACAAGTAACAGTATTATTCTAAATGGGAGAATCCTTTAATAACAGAAGCTATTAAAGTCACTACCATGAAAAATAGTGCAGAGCACCGTCGCTGAGATTCATTCACTCTTTATGAGCAGTTCATCCTCAGAGTGCTAGTGTATTTTAAGGCTGGCAGCCTTCTCTGGAAGGTCCTACCTCAGATACTTATCATTTCCTTGTCTTTTACTTAAAGATTTCATTCCTGTTTCAGTTTTCAAACTTAATCTAAATAGCTATTGCTATCTGCGTTGGTATCTCTATTATGATTTGCTTTGTATACATCTTTTTAGTACTTATACATTTCAGAAATTCGAACTTGGAAATGTATTTAAACTTGGAAAAGGAAGTAGTCAGTGCCATTAGGGCCTTCTCACTAGTTGAAAATATCTACTGCAGTGTATTCTGCGGTACGTCTTAAAGACTTCCACTTAAAGTGGAAGTTATGGGGTTTATCTGTGAGAAACTGTCTACTTGTACTCATCCTGATTTATAGCTGCCAGATGATATGCATTGGAAAACATAATATTAATGCATGTGAATAAATTGTTAATTCTTATCTGGAAATTTTGTAATGAGGAGGTACGAAGCAGTCACGGTACAAGACAGGAGCATTTTGACTACCACTTTTTCTTGCTTTCTGCACCCCAGGCAGCATAAGAGGGTAACTGGCCCCTGTCTTCAGTGTCTTTGGGGTTTATGCCACCTAAAGAGAGGACGTTAAGAATATGCCACATCTCTACCTCAACCTAAGGATGTGCTGAGCTAAATTTACGTCCCAAGGATGTCTGGAGAGACCCCTTTTCTCCTGTTCCAGGCTGTCTTCATGTGCTTACCTTGAGGTGGCTTTGGTCTTCCTCTGGTTGCACAGGAAGTCTAATCTGGTTCAGTAAAACAGTAGAAAGTTAATCTTGTTAGAAATAGGGAGCTGTTCAGCTCAGCAGTATCTGGAAGCATGCCCTCAGGAAAACTGGAGAGAAGATATTGTAAGCACTGTCAGTATCCCAGGAGAAGAGAAAATAAGCAAAAATCAAGGTGAAGTCCAGCTCAGGTTTCTCTCTGCTTGACCCTATGAGCAACCTGGGCACTGTGCTAACATTGCTGATAATGGGCCAGGGGAAGTAGGCGGTGGCAGACTCCAAGTGCTCCCCTCCTGTCCTCCATGTGTTCCTCCGAGGAATCAGCAACACGCTATCCCTGTGGCTTCTCGTGCTTTTGGATAGGGCAAAGAATCTGACCCAAAGGAGTGACTGGAATTCTCAAGTTTTGGGAACAGAAAGTTTAGTCCTCTGGCTTTTTGTGTAGGCAGTTTTATTTGTATCTATTTTGTCCTTGCGAACGTATATCTCAGCCAAATGGCCATCTTCTGCTGTTACGTAATGAATTAGTAAATAAAATTGTGATGTTTTGGGAAGTAATGAGAACTGTTCCTCCCAAAAAATATATTTTGAAATTACTATGTAATTTGCAAGTAAGATTTTTGAGGTACCATTTTGCTGGTATGACACAATTTGTCAACTCAAAGGTGCATTATAGATCTTTTCCACCCTTTAGTACTAATAGTGTACATATAAATTCAGAAATTTGCCAGTTACTGTCATTTTTCTTGCATGTTCTCAGTAATAATATCCTTTACATATCTGGCCTGGCTGGAAGAAAAAGTAAATGTGGTATATTTAATTTTTTTTTTCAATTCCTCTTAACCATGAGTGATCCTTAGGTATTGAAAATTGCCTAGAATTGGTTCAGAATTCAGAAATTATAGTATTGTAGGAACATGTACCTACCCTCTAGCTATATGTTTTTGTTCCGTTTACTTTGATGTCAAGTTTCATTAGTATTTTTTGATATAAAAACAAGGAAACAAGGTTAGTCTGAGGTCAAGCGTAGATAAGAACCCTGATTCAAGTAAGTGGAGCTAAGGTACTGGACCGTGTGATCCTACTCTTAGTACGTTTTTGTGTGTTTGTTAATAAAAGAAATAAGAAAGAATAAAAGAAAAAAATAAACTTATAAAAGAAATAGAAGACCAAGCATACTATTTGTTATCTCTCTCAGTAACTCAAAGATTATTCAATGTGAACGTTTCTTTAAATTTTGCTTCAAATTTTAGGTTAAGTGTCTGCTTACTGGCTTGAAATATCCTGCATAAGTCATTTTCTGTTACCTTACTGTCTTTTAGACATTTTATATATTTCTTTCAGTCAAACTGCCTCCTAGAGCTTACTTTGTAATAGAGTAAGGATAAACTGATATTTTAGAATAAATGACTGTATATAAATTTTGTCATTTTTAATGAGAAACTTATAGCTGGTAAGATCACTACATTCTGAAGAGATCTGGTTGTGTGTTTTTTGTAATTACTATTACCATAATATTAATGTAGACTGACTAAGAATGCAGAGATATTAAATGGGCTTTTATTCCTCTCTTTTGGATGGGGGAAACTTTCTGTGTATTTGTGCCTATCCATTTATAAGTAATATATGTGTCAGTGTGATGGAGGGGACACATACTTTAAATTTCTAAAGTATCATATTAGAAAATTAGCTTATCATATTAGAGACAGTTTTTCTTTCTCCCAAAGTGCTTTTATGAATCTAAGTGCCTAGCTAAAATTTCTAAATGATTTCTAATGAAATTATCTGCAGTTTACCTTTAATTGCTCGCAAGAATGGAACAGCTGAACTAGATGGAAATTCCTGGATGCTTAAGTTTAAAAATCGAGGACAGTGCTGGTCATGTATAAATTAGTACTTGGGAACTTGATTTTGAGCACTCCTATTGTAAGATCCAAATTTTCATCAAGGCTTTTTAACCTCATTTGAATGTTCTTTGCTAAAGCAATGGTACAAACATTGCTGCCTTTTCAAGGGGGAAAGAACAAGTGGCGTCCTGTGTAACTTGGAATGCTTTTGCTCAGCTATTAAAGTATCGGCCAGCACTTCATAAGGTTTGTGCTCTTGCATCCACCAAAGCCTCCACTGGTCTAGCCAAAAGAATTAAAAGTAGAAAAGAGGAAAATATTTGGGGCCAAGAGAATGATAGGCTTAATTAACATTTAAAATTAAAACTAAAATATTTGAAAATATAACATTTTTAAATATTAAGCAATGTTTATATTTTATATTGTATAATTAAAATACATAATGTCATAATCAAATATTTTTTGGTCACGTCCTGTTCTGGTCTCATCTTTTACACAGCTTCTGAACTATAGAGGATAATGTGAGATAGCTGTGTAATGATTAATAGTGAATAACCTGTTGTAATCAAATTTTAAATTGTCAGTGATATAAAATATGGTATAATTTAAGAACAGCAAATTTTTACGTTATTTGTCAATACCATATCTTTTTTTTTGGTCATTTCTAGAATATTCCTGATGTGGATGATGAAGGATACAGTATTAAACCAGAAGCAGCACAGAATATCCTTTTGATTTTTATTTTGTTTAGTTATTTTTTTGTTTTTACAATTCTCTGGAGAGGTGAAGTACTGATTAAAGTGTTAAGTAGAGGAAGATGACTTCCATGCTTATGTTGCAACTTTGTATGTTTGTAGCTTCCAGAAAAAGTATCAAGTTTGGTCTAGGCTAGATTTGTCAGTTTGTGTGTGTAAATGCCGGAGGGACTTTTTGAAAAGAATGTTAGACTAAGTGTCTTGGGAACTTTAAGAGGATTTTTTTTTTAACCTGAAGTGTTGTTTTTTTTTTTAAAAAAAAAAAAAAAAGTTTGAAAAAAATAAATCAAGGGGACCATGTAGATGTTCCTCCATGAAAAGCTTCCACAGGATTTGTAAAATAGCATTCTCTTTTAAGCATGAGGGGCTATATATTTTATACCTGCACCCTCCCTCCCTTTTAATGACATAAAAAAGATTGGGAGCTCCAACATCTGGGAATAGAGTTTATTTCACCACATACTGTTTCTAATTGGTGCTTTTATTGTGTTTTTAATAATAGATTTGATACATAGAATAGGCCTATTTTATAGGCTGTTTTGTTTTATGGAGGCTCATGGTTTTCACTATCCTTCATTTGAAGGGTAAGATTCAAGGGTACAATTTGTAGTGCCATTCTGCAAAAAGGGCAAGTAATGGTAGCTGTTGCTTCCTCTACTTTATGTCTATGAGCTGCCACTGGTATTGCACTGTTACTCCAAAAGGTCAGTAGTTCCCCTCACTTCATTTAAAAATTGGTACAATGCTTGCCACTTCCCTAGGTGCAGTACAGTGCTTAGCTGAACAGTGCAAGTCATAAATTTAAAATACAAAATTATTGTTACTGTAAAACCTTCCCTTTGTCCTGTTGCCTTCATCTATGCGCTCCTTTAGTTATGTAATAGTACCTTCCATAACAAATACCATTGTGAAGATTAATGGAGTGTAAAGGCCAGAGTAGGTATAAAAATTGACCAGTGAACATATATGAAGTGTCTATAAAGGACACAAAGAGCTTTGTCAGTAGTTTTTTATCTGGGATGTTTACTTAATATGTGAATTTTCTAGATATTATGTGAGAAATGGATTAAGCAGATGAATTTGAAATACTTCCACCTTAACTGAGAAAAACATACCAAAGAGAACCATTTCTATTCATCTAGTGATTCTGACTCTGAAGATGATGAACCCAGGAGGTTCCATGTAGAAATAAAACCTGTACAGCCAAATCATAGTTCTCAGTGCACAATGGCTTCTTTGGATGAATTAAAAGTATCTATAGGGAACATTGCTCTTTCTCCAGCAATATCTGTAAGTAATCCTGTTTCTTGTATTTCTAATTAGTATAGAAGAAAAGTGGTAAGGAATCTTTAGCGTGAACATATGTTTTACTGTTCAGAATTTATTCTAGGTTCAGGTTTGGTGATTATTTTTCTTGTTCCCTAGGCTGTCTTTAATATGCTTTATCATGATGTAATGTTTTTCTCCCTTTTCAGCTTTTAGTTTTCTTTTTGAGGAAAGCTGCTCAGTCCTTATCTTTCTGCTCTTGCCACTGCAATAGATTTGAATACATGTGGAATTAGCTGAGCATGGCTTTTAATATAGTTTGCTTATCAGTATCAAGTAACATACAGATCATATTCAGATTCTGTGATTTTTACAGAACATTTTTATTGTATGTAGTCACAACAAACTGTAGAATGATTCTTTAAACCAAGCAGTGATATTATAAACAAGCAGTTTTAAATTATGTTAGTACAGTAAGGATGGCTTAAGGATGTTTTTAAGGAAAATATGCATACTATATTAAAATATTAATGATGGTTTTCCCATTTTTCCTCATGTTTTGACAGCAGAGGCACAGTCCTGTAAGTACAGAATGACTTTTTATTGTTATTTGTAAATTAAAATTGAGAAAGTACAGTCTGTAAGGGAGTTACTGGGGAAAACTTGGGAATGTTTCTGTTCCTATCTGTCAGATATGCTATATGGTAGGAAAGCTGTCAGCTTTTAATGACATGTAAATGTCCTGTAAAGAAATTTAGTAATACTTACTGAAGCCTTGTTTATACAATTTTACATTAATCTTTCTAAAGAACAGGAAGATTCCAGCAAGAAGAAGGCACTGTAGAAAGGTACAGAATTGCATTATGTTTTGAATCCCATCTGAATAGAAGTGTGTCAAATTCTAAGTACATAAAGGCTTCAGTAGCACTTCTGCCTCTATTTTCTGCATATTTCCATAGTGATATCTCAGATATACAAGTATAGTTAGTCAACTAAGATCCATATAAAAATGAGCACAGGATACCTGTACTTCTGGCTAACGATTTTGGGTTTGACAGGAATAAAAAAGTCCAATATGACTGAGAGTGGAGTGTAGCAGTCCCTAGCCACTAGGTCTGCAGAGCCCATTATTGTATTAAAATAGATAAGCCCAGGTACGATGGCAGAAAAGTGAACTGAGCAAACCTGTGGTTATTATGTTGTAACAAATCCATTATACTTAGAAGGAGTTAATTTTCTGGAAGTTACTCCTCACTCAATTTTCAGTTCTTCATTTTTTCAGCTGTCACCTGCTAACTCACTTCCAATGTTATTTGCTGCTTTTCTATTTGTTTCCCCCCAAAATTCTTTAGTCCAGTGGCTGCCTGCAGTTGCCCAGAAGTATTTGCATTTCCTGCACCTTTCTAATGCTGCTGGCTGTCTCTGTTCCTGCCTTTTCCTACCCAGGTGCGGGGTGTGCTGCTTGCTCTGCCCTGGCTCATGTTGTGGCCTTGCTTCTGCAAGCACCAGAGGGTTCTCCCTGGCGACAAAAGCAAAATAGCTAAAGGAAATTAAAGTGGAAGCATGAAGTTTGCAACTATTAAGTGTTCTAGCTGACAGTTTGTAAAATTTAATTTCTACTTCTTTTGTCTATTTCAGGCACAAATGAATCGAAATTCATTCAGTAAGTGTGAATCTGTAACTGTTAGTTGTTACACTAGTCTTTTTGACTTAGCATAAATATATATATATTGCTGTTAAAGAATAACATTATTAAATGTTAGTATTTTAAATAGAAGAAAAGGTTTATCTTGACAGTTCTAGATCTCTTAATGATACCTGCCTTTGAACTACCCACAGTAAATTCAAAAGAGAAAATGAATTTTTTTGATCAAAACTTCAGTTAGCTGTTAGCAGCTGTGAACAGATCTCTCGGTATTCTGCACACTCAAGTGTTCTCTGTTCTGATACAGTGATGAGGAACAGACCCAAAAGGGGAGACCTCATGGAAATGATGCTTGTGTTAGTTCTGAAATTCCTTCATCCTCCCAAGTTTAGTATGATCCACAAACCAATAAAACTCACTCTCACTCTCTCTCAATGTTATGGTCAGACCCTGCTTGTTCCATGGAGATAGAAGATATGGAGCATTAGGCTCTATCCTTTCTTTGTTTTTCTTTCCAGTGGAAAACCAGGCCAGGTCAAACAGTGATTTGTTGAAGAATAAAACTGATATGAGCTATATAAGTTAAGGAAGAACCTTCAGGTGATCGATATTTCCTCACAAAATGCATTATTTTGTGTATTCTTCTGCTTTTAGAAAATATTTCTGGAGCACCTGAATTTGTATCATCAGAAAGAACACCTTTTTTTTCCTTTCCATTTTAATTATTCATGATTAATTTTGATCTGCAACTGTTAACTTTTAGTATCTTTTTATAATGAAGCTAAATGCTTTTATTAATCAAGTATTTCATCTTTGGTCATAATTCTGTATCTATTGCTTAGGTGAAGAGTTAACGAAATCAAAGCTTTCTGCTCCAACTAATGAGTGAGTTGAATTTTTTAAATTATATCAAGTGCACTTTGGAGAGAATTTGCTCTTATTTTAATCCAAAACTCAGAAACTCAGTATCAGCTGACTGGGTTGGATATTTATTGCGCAGTTATGTATCTGTTGCCTTGTAAGAGTTAATGAGGTATTATAAAGCAATGGAGAATTTTATTCTTCAACCTTTTTTTCCCCTCTGTATTTGTTTTCCCCTTATGTATTTGCTTCATTCTCATGTGTCTTGATTGATAATTACATGATTACTAAATATTGGTTTTAGTTTAAAATCTTCAAGTTTTAAATAAAACAAATACAGGCAGCAATTTTACAGTGTTCCTTAAGATAACAAGCCCAAAATTTGGACAGCTCTGTGTACAAGTCTCATATACTGAAAAAAAATCCCTTTGAATACATATGCTTTGTTGATATGAAAACGGACGTTATGAAATATGTTCACACGTGAACTTGCACCAAGGTAATAGAAGATACTAATTCAGATAGATTTATAATGTATAAATAGTTCCTAGACCTGCAATCTGTAAGTAGTATTTATTTTTAGATATAAAGGCTGTTACTAACACATGAGATGAATTACCAAAGTTATAATTTGATTTTTATGAGTATATATTTCATTTGTATTCCAATTGCAACCCTTACTATAGAAAGGGGAACAGTGACCTACTGGCATGGGATCCACTCTTTAGCAGTTCTCTTGAATCTTCTTCAGCCTCCTTGGTGTTCTCATCCTCCTCAGGTAAAATATTTGATAGCAGAAACTGTACTTGCATGCTCTCGGGGATGCTCTGTCGTTGCTGCTTTTTTTAAGCCATTGCAAAGGGATGTGCTGTGATTAGTAGGGTCGGGGAGGGGGAGGGGGTGGAGTCAGATGTAGCTTCTCAGCACCGGTGAGGTGGGAAGAGCTTGCACTGCAGGCAGGGATGGGTGTATTTCCTTCTTCCAGGAAAACCTATTGAGCTATGAACTGTTGAGTACAAGGCCACCATAGAGCTTGGCTGCAAGGCACTTGTTTCCTATAGGAAAACATGGTTCTGTTGGGAAATGTTTTGGCTGAATCCAGGGGAGTGGGAGAAAATCTGGAATATGGGGAAGTTTCTGACTGGGAGTGGGAATTATAGGAATGGAATGGGGAGGGAGAGGGGAGCAAGAGGAAGATGCCATATATGGGAAGCCTGGTTGCAGGATTTTGTAGGATACTAGTGTGGGCAATATAAATATATGTGTATAAACTGATTGATGGAGTAGCCAATATGGTTTGTTTTACTCAAAAGGCAGCAAGGGAGAGGGAGGCCAGAGAGCTCATGGGCAGGGGGATGTGCCTTGGAGAGGTTGAGAGGAGGGAACTTGAAAAGCTTTCTAGAAAAAAAGAAAGAGGAAACCCAAACAAAAACACATCTTACTGCTATGTTAGGTCTCCTTTACTAAAAATATTTACTTACGTTATTTGCATTGATTATCTTGGGGGGCATAAGGTGGACTACATTATTGACTAACAGCGGCAGGTGTGCTGCTTCTGTAGTTCCTTACAGCCTCCTTATTGCAACTATTTTTTCCAAGTCCTGCACTATTAGTGTAGAGAGTTTCTTTTGCCATATGTCTGAGAAAGGAAGTATTTGCAATTTATGTTAGCTAGATATTCCTGTCACAGAAATGAGATTGATCATTTTAGTTAGGGATCATGGCTTTCCAACTTGTCCTCTGTAGCCAATCTTACAGATTGAAGAGTAGTAAGAAAGAGTACATGTAAAAATAGGGGAATTCTGCACAGGAAATAATGCTTTTTCTCAAACATAGTAACATCTCTTTAGCAATGATCAGTGTGGCTATGCAGTCATTGGGATTTAAGTGCAAATTATTCTTCCATTACAAGTCCATGTTTCCTAAAAGTTATGTTTTATAATAAAAAATCTAGCTTACTAAATGGATCATCTCTTCCTCCCTTTGGTAGCCAGTCAGATTATTGGCTAGTGGGTCTAAATTTGTAATGTATTTACATATATATTAATGGAATATATATGCACCTAAGGAAACTTGATACCCACAAATTCATGGGCCCTGATGGGATGCACCCCAGAGTGCTGCGGGAGCTGGCAGAGGTCATAGCTAAGCCGCTCTCCATCATCTTTGAAAGATCCTGGAGAACGGGGGAGGTGCCGGAGGACTGGAAGAAGGCCAATGTCACGCCAGTCTTCAAAAAAGGCAAGAAGGAGGACCCAGGCAACTACAGGCCAGTCAGCCTCACCTCCGTCCCCGGAAAAGGGATGGAACG